TTTGTGTTTGGTAAACGAGCCTCAGCTTATCCTCCCCACCCCATCAAGACTTGATAAACTGACTTGATCAAAATGCATCCTTATCTTTCCAAAGGAAATATCTTTTTTTTAATTTTTTAAAGATTTTATTTTTTTATTTTTAGGGAGGGAAGGGAGGAAGGGAGGGAGAGAGGGAGAGAGAGAGAGAGAGAGAGAGAGAGAGAGAGACATCAATGTGCGGTTGCTAGGGGTTATGGCCTGCAACCCAGGAATGTACCCTGGCTGGGAATTGAACCTGGGACACTTTGGTTCCTAGCCTGCGCTCAATCCACTGAGCTACGCCAGCCAGGGCTGGAAATATCTTTTTTTGAGATTCAATTTTTACAGCTATTTCTTCTCCCTCCATTTTCTCAATCTGTTCAGCTGTGTGTCTAGATAAAAAAAAATAGTCAGACCTTAATGATATAAATTAATATTCTCCTGTCAGCCATGGCTACCCTACCCTTTTCTATTTTTCTCTGGAATTGAAATTGAGCAACATTTGAACAGAAGGTGTCTGATTACAATGACTCTCTCCAAAATACAAGGGAGCAAAACAAACACTTTTGTCTCAGTCTCTGGTTTCAGATGGAACCAATGCCTTGAGTGTGACTCAGGGCTTTAAGAAAATAGCATTACCTTAGGATATTTCGGCAACCAAACCAGCAGATCCAAAGAGTATCATCTTTCAGAGTACTCCCTCTGAAGAAGGCTACATGCCTATGCCAATGACCTTGCCTTTGCACAGAACACATCTGTAATCATGCTTTTGGAAATTCCTTTAGAGTTTTTGTGTAATTAAGCTAGCATAAAATCTCATTGATTTCTATTTGTACTTCTTTTACATCTTCATCCAGGGACACTTTTTCACTGCTTTTATAAAGAAAGGATTTAGACATCAATGTGAGAGAGAAATATTGATTGGCTGCCTTTTATAGGTGTTCCAGCCAGAGACCGAACAACAACATAAGCATGTGTCCTGACCAGGAATCAATGGTTTGTAGGACGATGCCCAACCACCTGAGCCACACTGGACCAGGGCCATATTCTACTTTGGAGTAAGAAGTAAAAAGCATGTCAATTTCAGAGTTTACTTTTTAGTCTGGCCATTAAAAAAAAATCACCTTCCCAGTAGGTCACCACTGAGGGTGAACCCTTCTTAGCAGTCTTACCATGACCATGTCCATCAGCAAGCACCCCTGGGAACCCATACTAAGTGGGCTCTGTGCAATGTGGGATGGAGCAGTCCAAAAGATATTGTCCCTATTCTTAAAGAGCTTGTAATCCAAGTGGAAGCCTAATACAGGTGTAACATGAAAAATGCTAGATGAAGATAAACATATGTGAGAGTTTAGAGGACTTTGGGCTAAAGCAGTCTGAGAAGTTGTGCACAGAGGGACTGGCAGAGCTGGAAGTGTGTGGATGTCCTCTACAGGTTGAGTGACACCAAGTGCAAAGACAAGTTTGACTAAAAGTAATGGAGTGGGACATAAGCTCTACTACTGACTTACGTTGTTATTCAAAAGTTATTTAACCTCCTGATTTCTCTGTTTCCTCATGGTACCCACTTCTGATTCACAATGGCAGGCTGAACACAAGCATTAACTTCCTTCTTCCCCTTAATCTATTCATCTGATGTCATGCAGTGGCATGCAAAATGTATTTGACACCCAGAATAAATCATCTTTTATAACCCCTTCTCCTTTGTAACAAAATTACTTTCAGTAATAGTCATTATTTCCTTGTTTTTTCCCCATAGTTTAAAAAAAGGAGTTAACTCATGAACAGGAAATTCCCACTTAACGATATTATTCTGACTTTTAAAAAGATTACATGTGTGAACTGCAATTTGTACTTACCATAAAAAGTATTACACCTCACAATTTTCTCTGTATACCACCGTTTTAAATTTAAATACACATAAAACTCAGAATGGTCACATACAATGAGACAATTACAGTGATTCAAGTTCTGTTTCTTTATCATTACAACATTGCACTGTCAATGCTATTTCAAATCTACTGTGTGAATGCAGGAGTGTTAGTGCCACAGGGATTGGAAACACAAGTACAAGTTTGAAAGATTCAAAAACTCTACAAACTTATTCTTGAAACAAGCATGTGTAACTGAGTCTACTTGTGTTGGGTCAACTGTATACTTGGGAGCTTTCCAAATTAACTTCCCTGTAGAATCGAATGTTCTTTAGAAAATAAGTAGGAGGAAAAGTGCTTATTTGAAACATACATATCTATGATTAAAACTCCACAGTAACCAAAACAATTGTTAGAACTGAGCTTTTTAAAAAGATACTTAGTGCGGGGGAGGGTAGTGTAGGGAGAGCATTTTATCCCTGACCTTGATGATAATACATACCAGACTTTCTTTCAGTTAGTTTTATTGTTGTTTATAAATTCTCTACCATCAATGCACCCCCTTCTGCCTACACATTAAATGAAGCTTCCCAAGCTCCCATCTCTAGCATGCCACAATAGTAAAATACAAAAAGGAAAAATGCATTAAAAGCACTGAGAAAGGGAGTAATAATCATTAAAAAATCCTAGACAACCAGATCATAATGCCTATTCAACTAGGGTGTAAGGTATCACAGCCCAGAGCATGTGTAGGAGGAAGGCTACCACGTGACTACATTTTCATCACCGTTATTTAGAATGAGTGAGGTAGAGGGAATAGGAGAAGAGGCAAACGTTGAGATGGAGGATGAAGAGCCACCTGTAGACTCTGCTGGATCAGCCTGATACAGTCCCTTCTCCAAGGCCCTGACCCATTGGTGAAGACCTGAGAAATGCTCCCAAAGGAATTAAGCAATCTGTCTGGGAAGATTTTGTGCTCCCACACAAGAGTTGGTACCCCAAAGTGACTCTCTTCAGCCCAGCAGAAGTAGAGGTAGGAAGCCTGATAATTAACACCCTCAGTGTCCTGCTACTTTACTGAATTCATTTATCATTCTAGCACTTTTTTGGTAGAGTTCTCTATGTACAGTATCATCTGACCTACAAAGAATGACATTTTTACTTCTTCCTTTCCAGTTCAGATGCCTTTTATTTCATCTTCTTGTCTGATCGCTGTGGCTAGGACTTCCAGTGCTAAGTTGAGTAAGAGTGATGAGAGCAGATTTGTCTTGTTCCTGATCTTAAGGAAAAGTTTTTGTCCAGTGAGTATGATGTTACCTGTGCGTTTGTCATATATGGCTTTTATTATGTTGATGTATGTTCCCTCTATTTTCACTTTGCTGAAAGTTTTTATCACCAGTGGGTGCTGGATTTTATTAAGTGCTTTTTCTGAAACTCGTGTGATTTTTCTCCTTCATTTTGTTTATGTGGTGCATCACATTTTTTGATATGTAGATGCCATGCCAATCTTGCATCTTTGGAATAAAGCCCACTTGATCATGCTGTAAGTTTTTTATAATGTGTTGCCGGATCTGGTTTAATGTTTTGTTGGGGATCTTAGTATGATGTTCATCAGGTATCATCCCACAACTTTCTTTGCAGTGTCCTTATCTGGTTTTTTAATTCAATAATACTGGCCTGGAAAATGATCTTAGAGTCATCTCTCCACTTGAATTTTTGGAATAGTTTGAGAAGAATCAGTGTTAGTTCTTTGAATGTTTAGTAAAAGTCACCTGTGAAGCCATCTGGTCCAGGACTTCTGTTTCTTTGGAATTTTTTTATTACTGCTTTAATTTCATTACTTGTATTCAATCTATTCTGATTTTCTTATTTTTTCTAACTCAGTTTTAGAAGATTGTATGTGTTTTTAGGAATTTATCTATTTTATCCAAATTGTCCAATTTGTTGACATACAGATGCTCATAATATTTTCTTACAATCCCTTGTGTTACTGTGGGGTTAGTTGTTACTTCTCTTTCATTTCTGATTTTATTTATTTGGGCCCTCTCTCTTTATTGCTTGAGTCTTGTTAAAGGTTTGTCAATATTATTTACCTTTTGAAAAACCAACCCTTGGTTTCATTCAGCTTTTGCATTTTTTAGACTATATTTCATTTATTTCTGCTCTGATCCTTATTATTCCTTTCCTCTGTTCACTTTGGAATTTGTTGTTCTTTCTCTAGTTTCTTTAAGTTAGATTGTTTATTTGAGATTTTTCTTGTTTCTTGAGATAGGGTAATGGTATGAATTTCCCTCTTAGGACTGCTTTACTGTGTCCCCTAGATTTTGGATTGCTGAGTTCTCATTTTCATTTGTTTCAAGTATCTTTTGATTTCTTCCTTGATCTCATTGTTAACCCATTTATTTTTAGTCACATGTTATTAGTTTCCACGTCTGTGTCATTTATAGTTGTTTTCTTGTGACTGATTTCTAGTTTCATACCATTATGGTCAGAAAAGATGCTTGATTTGATTCCAATCTTCTTAAATTTATTGAAATTTATGGAGACTTGGTTTTTGTTTTAACATGTGTTCTATCCTAGAAAATATTCTATGTGAGCTTGAAAAGAACACATATTCTGCTGCTTTGGAGTGAAAAGCTCTGAAAATACCCATTAAACCCATCTGATCTAGTGTGTCATCTAAGGCTGCTGTTTCCTTGTTGTTAAATGAGGATTTTAGTCAAGGCTTCTGGGGAACTTACAGAGAACCAGATGTTCCGAAGTGAAGGAACAGAATGCAAACAAAACCTGAGAAACAAACAGAAGGTAATCTAGAAAAGAGAAACAAATGTCAAAAGAATGCTAACAGCCTCAGAGAGGGTTAAGAAGAGAGGGCATCCATAAAACAAGAACAGGCTACCATGATTTTTTTAAAGGTGCAAAGAGCAAGAAAGAGTTCATGGAAATGAAAATGTGTTATTTAAGACAAGGGCTGGAAGAAGGAGTTCAAGAAAACTTTCAGAACATAAGTTTAAAGAAAGACAAGGAGGAGACAACTGGACTCAAACAACAACAAAAGTAAAATAAAATAAAGCAAGGCAAAGAAGAAATATATGGAAAATTGCACATGTAGTGCTCACTTTGGCCACACCTACACTAAAACTGGAATGATGCAGCGAAAGTTAGCATGGCCCTGCACAAGGATGACACACAAATCTGTGGAGTGTTCCGTATTTGTATAACTTCCAGCTCTTAAAAGTCAAATTATTTAAAGAGTACATAATACAATAAATAGGCCATAAAACCTTTATGCTTTAACTGTCAAAGAAGGAAAATTATACATTTAACATGTGTTTCATTTTTCTCAAAATGACTAGTAATTATATTAATATTGATGAATGACAGAGGAGGACTTAAGAAATAAAATGTGACAATCTGATTCTCTAGATGTCTGTACCTTATCACAGCATGATAGAACATTAATGCTTTAAAAAGGTAGAAATCATCTAGGTCAGTAATATTGAAAGTATTTCACTGAGGACTAGGATCCGACAAAATTTTTCTCATCAGGTTTAAAGAGGAGCTGAGCACACCAAGCCTTGGGCCCATCCCTCTAATTTAAGTAAGGTGCTTTCGTTTGATCTGTTTTTTATCCTGGGGTCCTGTATAAAGTTGCATTTGTAAAGGAGTTACTTGCTACAGAACTAGGCTGAGGCAAGCAGTGCTAACACGTATGTGTCCCAGGCAGACTGTATTTTTAAAATATTTGCTCACTTATGCAGAAGTACTGAACACGGCATGAAGGAGGCAGAGAAACAAGACTGCCGGTGGCGAGGTCCAGCCTCCCCTCTGTTGTCCCGGGTGTCTTGGATGCGGCCCAAGCTCGCCGTTTAAGAGAACAACAGCCCGGTGGTAAACCAGAGTCCCCCCCTGTAGAAGGATTTATCCTCCATCTGTTGTTTCTTAAGCTTGCTCCTTGGGAATCTCACCCAATATCCCAAACAGCTTACTCTGGGATCACATATGGTCCTCTTCCTGAGAGGAGTCTTGATAAATGCCGTTTTCTCCATCTTATTTTGTTTCCACTGCTGTTTTAACACCTCATATAGATGGATATCCCGGGCAGCTACTCCGAGGGCCAGCCCCGTTATCTGGCTCAGCGCATTTAATATAAATGTCTGATAACCACTCATTGAAATCAAACCTCTCATCTGCTGCTGGAGAAACTGACATCCAGGAGACAAAGTGACTTCACTGAGTGATGTTCCCGTTGTATCCGACGATGCTGCCACAGTTCTGATCACTTCACCTGGGTATGTTTTTCCTTCTCAGAAGGACATCAGCTACCTCAGTTAAGACTCATTGCTTAGATTCTTTTTCTAACTCCTTCTGCACAGTGTTGAGAATAAAACAGGTGTCCAGTAAGTACTTGCTGGCAAATCTCTTTAAAAACAGTTTTTACTAAGAAAACAACTTCCACTTTCAAGTAGTACAGAGCAGGATGTCGTGGCTCAACATTTTTGCTTGCGACCACTGGGGAGAAAAATACAAAAACTATTTTAAAATAATATTTTTAAGATATCAGATAACTGGAAGAACAAAAAAAAAGCTAAATCTTCTGAATTCCCATCAAAGAAAATGTCCTTCCTAGGGCTAGCTGAGAACTGCTGGCTATTTTCTCTGCCAGTCACGGTGCTAGCAGAGGTGGAGGTCATTTACCACGGCAAAGACAAAAGGAGAGATTTAAGAATCACACAGACTACGCCGAAGGATTCCAGTCTAGTCAAGCCCCAAATTTACCATCATGTTCCCCACTGGGACATCTGATGAGGTTTAGGGAAGTACAAAATGCTGGTAACAAAAATCAAAAGGTGGTCGCCTCTGTTGGCGGGTATTGAGGGAGGAGCTTGGTCGGAAAGGGGAAGGTGGGAACTTCTGGTGGTGACGAGTATGTTCTGTAACTGATTTTGAGAGGCGTGCGCACACACGTATCTGGGGAGGTGAGAACTACAGTTCTCTCGTATAGAGAAAATCCCAGTTCTTGCCTTCTCCTGCGAGCCTTTTCTCTGGGTGTCTCCCTGACCGTTCGCACCGTACACTTCACTTCTGACACTTACAACACAGCAGAGCGGGGCAGAGTGGTCAGGGGAGAATGGACAAGCCGCACTAACATTTCAGGGAAGAAAGGGGGGTGGCTGGGAAGAACCTGTTGCCTCTTGGAACGGAATGGAGACCAAGAGAGGAAATGGCATGGGAAGGGAGGGAGACGCCAGCAGGGGGCAGATTTCGCCGGGGTTTTTTGGCCATGATAAAAATATGGATTTCTTTTCTATTTATAAGGAGAAGTGATGGAAGGTTTATAAGCAGAGAAGTGGCATGACATAATTTATGTTTTGAGTAAAGCACGCTGGCTATGATTTAAGATTAGAGTGAAGGCAAGAGACCGGTTAAGAGGCCATCACGTAGAGAGTTGATGTTGGCAGAGGCTTGGCTGACGGAGATGGCGTCTCAGACCAGTGGAGACTTGGGCTTCGGGGATGTCGTCGGCAGGGCTTGCTAATGGGTAGACGTGTGGATCGGAAGAAAGCCTTTCCTCCCCCTTCACTGAGTATTCAGTGCCTTAGTCTCCCGACACACCGTTTCTCCCAGGGTTCCTTCTACTTTACAGGTTGCTTTCTCCTTCTCTTATTCTTCTATTGCACCCTGAATACCTCCTTGCACCCCCTCTCTCCTCTCCCCAGCCCCTGTATTCACTAAGTGCTTGATACTTTCCCCCTCTTCCTTCTACAGATCCCCCTGAGTTTTTCAAAACAGAGACAGGACTTTTTTTTACTGCCTTCATTCCCAGACTTGTCCCTTTACTCAGGCCCGCCTCCTGGTACTAGATGTCATGGCTGGAATGGCCCCACAAAGGCTTCTAGCTCAACACGCATGACATTGAACTACATCCACTCCTGCACCTTCCCCTGAATTGCCCTTATTGTTTAATAGCATAACTTTTATCTCCTAATCCAAGCTAAAAACCTGGGGGCTATCCTAAACCTTTCTTCTCAGCTCTCGTTATCTCTCAGTCACAGCGCCCTGTCAGTTTTACACCTGAATTCCTGGGCACATCTTGTCCCAGCATCCGTCCCTCTTGTTACTTCCTTAACTCAGACAGTCATCTCCTCTATATAGATGGTTTCAAATATTCCTACAGATTTGTCTCTCTCAGCTCTATCTCTTCAAATCCCGACTCCACCTTGCCTGTGGCATCCTTGTGTGGTCTGTATACTGCTCAATCCAGATAGTGGTCTGTACTCAACACATTTTTATGTTTTCTGTGCGTAAAACTTCCATTAGTTCCATTGGCTCTGCGATAAAGTGTAAGTTGCTTACACAGCATACCAGACCACCTGTGACATGTACCCCACTTACAGCACTCACCTCATCTCCCATTATTTCTCGACAACCATCATATGCTGCAGTTACACTGAACTGTTTAAGTTCTCCCAGCTTTCCCTAGTGTTCTATGCCTGGAAATCCAGCTCAAGTGTTTTCTCCTCTGAGAAGTCCTCTCTCATCCTCACAGATTTGACCAACTTCTTCTTCACTTTGAGAGTTTCCATGTGGACATTCCTCCTACATACCACTGGTTTGACACTGCACAGCAACTAACAGTGTGGTCGCTGTCTTCATTCTCCTTTATTCCCACTCCTCCGTTCCTATTCTTCGTTCACCCTCCCATAGGCAACCATGCGTTGGAATGTGCTCAGACAAAATGTGAGTCTTATTGTTTTGTACTGATGTATTTTTAGTTTACAAAAATTGTATTGCGTCCTGTATCTCCTTTTATAAAAAAAATAATTGTATGCTATGGCCATGCATCCATGTTGCTTTATTACAATTAGCACGATGCTTCTAACAGATTACTCATAGTATCGCAAGGAGAAAACACCCCCCACACTTTATCCACCTATTCTGCAGGTGTTGCGCAGACAGAATGCCCTCCGCTCCTTGCTCAGAACTAAGGTGGCAGTGAATGCACTCATTGAGGCCTCTGTCTTCTGTAAATTACCTGCCATTTGGCCTGCTAAGAGCACATACACACCAGAGAGGCTGATAAAAAATATGTCTATTTTTTTTTCAAATCAGAACTGCCATCTTCTTCTCCACGCTGATTAAGAAGTCATTATCTGTTTGTTGTCGCCATCTTTCTCGGGTTAGTAAACATGTGGAGTCTCCCAAGCAACCGGCTGGCTAACTCGTTTCTGCACCTGCACGGCAACGACCCTACAAGACATCTGTTCTCTGTTTGACATCTCTTTAATTTTCTTAGTGGCTTATGGACAAAATCACTTGACTGAAACTTTTTCAAGTTTAAGTTATTTGGATTCACAAGAGCATTTTTCTCCCTGTTATAAATCAATGAGCCCAGTAAGATTAACTGCCTACATGTGAGCTTCAAAAGAGCCTGTATGGCCAGACAGAGTTGAAAGAAACACATAATTCCCTAACACACTGGATACAAGCTGATCAAAGTTATCGGGGCTGGTTACTTAATGCTGCACTTCCTCATTGTCATGCAATCTGATTTCAAGTAGTTTGAATCTAAAGCATATATTCCTAGATCTCAGAAAGTCTTCCCCTGGGGGTGAAAAAAAACCTATCATTTCTATAGCCTCAAAATGGGTGTCAAAATGTGTGTTTAGACAGATCTAAACTAAACTCTGGGCTAAAATTTGTGACATTCCATGTGTTTTAGGAATTAAGAGAAAAAGAAAAGAAACCTAGGAAGGGACCATTCCAAACAAGAACGACTCCTATACAGAATAATCACAGAATCCTGGAAGCAAAAGGAGTCGTAAATCCTTAGATATCGTGTCGTGAAGAGGGGGATTGTTGAGGCCCTTGGAACTCTAAGCAGGTTCCAAGGGTCCGTCACATGAGAGCTGAGGAGACCCGGAGGGCAGGGGCTCCCCAGAAGAGCCCTCTTTTTATTTTATATGTATATGTTAAATGTTGTGCTTTTATGTAAAAGGTGAGTTGAAAAAATTTCCACTCCTTAAAAATAAATGGGATGCCACTGCTCCAGCCCAGTCGCGCACACAAATCAATTCCTTCTATGACATCCCGACAGGCCGCAATGCGAGAGCCGCACGAACAGGCTGTCGCTGTGAGTTCGTTGTCCTGAGGCAGCTCATTTCCATGTTGGATATCTCAAGTTCCTGGGAAGGCCCTCTCTTCCAGAGTGCCACG